AAAAAAAAAAAAAAAATAAAAATCTCCAGCAGCCTTTCGTGGTGTCGAAACCCCCGCTGAGGTTTGGGGGTTTGAAAACCAGTCAGACTATCTCTGCTCAAACGATTAAGAGCTCGGGTTTAATTTGTCTTTTTTTTTTTTTTCTTTTTTTTTTTTTTAATTATTATTGTAAGGATCAGCGTTTAACCCTCGGCACACGCCGCCTCCGCTTGCGTTCCTGACTGCTGTCTAGGCATTTCCAGTTTGTTAGAGGAACCAAACGGGTCAGATTTGCAAGCGTTCTTCTGCACACACATCTCTCGGCCAAGTCCAATTCCAAACTTACTCAGTTCCCGCCATTTCAAAGTGCAATATCATAACATATTAAAAAAGGAACAAATATTAAGAAATTGTACCTATTTTTTTTTTTTTTTAAAGTTATACCTAGAATATGCTGGAATATTTTGGCTTTTTTTTTTTTTCTTATAAATAATGAAGACACTGACATTTTCTTTTGTGTGTGTGTGTGTGTGTGTGTGCTTGTGAAGCTAATAGATCATCTCCACGAGACAGCCAGCGATGATGAACTGCAATACATTATTACTGAAAGGGGAAGGTTCAAGCCAATATTCACACTGCAGTCAATGAAGAGTAAAGGGAGGGAAAGCAGTGATGTTCTGGAGAAAGGTAGAAGCCACACGGTATTAGCAGGAACAGCCTCCTTCACTGACAGGCTGCTCTTGAGGCTTTTCCAGTTTTATGTCAATCACTGGAAGCGGTAAGTTAAGGCAAACACACCCAGCTCTGTTTCCCTCCCAGGCGCAGGCGGGGCAGGATGCGGACTGGGAAGAGTAAAGGGAGGGAAAGCAGTGATGTTCTGGAGAAAGGTAGAAGCCACACGGTATTAGCAGGAACAGCCTCCTTCACTGACAGGCTGCTCTTGAGGCTTTTCCAGTTTTATGTCAATCACTGGAAGCGGTAAGTTAAGGCAAACACACCCAGCTCTGTTTCCCTCCCAGGCGCAGGCGGGGCAGGATGCGGACTGGCATTTTCAGTTCGGTATTTCCCACCGAAATGCTTGAAAAGCAGTTTCAAAAGCTTCAAACCCGAAGCCAAGACAGGGGGTCTCTCTCAGCAGCTCCTCTGGCCCCCGCGTTGGCACCTCAAGTCCGCAGCAGCAGCAAGGTCAGACCCCAAACGTCTGTCTCGAACCAGCCTGGCTCTTCCCCAGCGATCGCTTCTCGTTCCAAAGCGACTGCTGTAAAAGATGGGTACGCTGAAGGGTCTAATCGCCACTTCCAGAGGGAACCAGTAACAGCTTGGAAACCCCCAGTTTCAAATCAACGCTAGATGCAGCCTTCCAGCCCCGAGAGCAGCATCTCCAGCTGGTGGGCAGCCCGCAGGGGGCTCTGCCCGCTGGCTCGAAGAACAGCAAAGCCCTGGAGGTGGCAGGAGCCTGGAGGAACCCCGAAAGGAGAGCTCGGCTCTTCCCCAAACTCCTGCTCCTCTCTACTCCACAGCCAAGTACCCTGGGGCGGGCAGGAGAGCCTGCTGGGGTTTGAGCACAGCCGGCTCTGCTAAGAGAATCCCCTGGCAGCGCGCTCCAGCGAGGCTGCTCCTGCTCGCGCCGTCATCCCCCGGAGTCCTCACACCCCCACGGCTCGCAGACACGATGCTCCCGAACTCCCCCATCAACCCTTCCCTCCTGTCGAGCTGCTCTGCTCACCCCACCGCCGGCCAACGAGACCCCTGCTGCCTCCCCGCGCTCACCCCTCGCCACGACAGCCAAGATCTACCGAGATCTGCAGAGTTTGCTGCTCCGGACCAGCCTGAGACAAGCGACTCCCTCCGCGGCACTCGAGTTCCCAGCGGGCGCCCTACAGCGACCACGTTCACGTGGCCCTTCCCAGGGGCAGCTCTGAACGCTGAGCCCCAAACCTGACCCGCGGCAGCGCAGAGGCAAACAGGCCACAGCGCTGGTGCGCCCCCCTTCTTTCTTCAGGGGGGTTTAAGTTGCTTTTTACAGAGGTTAGAAGAAAATAAACACAAAAAAGGGGCAACAAAAGGCCAATCATTCATCTCAAACCCGCGGTCTATTCGGCTGATTGAAACCTCGACACGCATTTCGGAGCCGGAGCTGCTCGGAACGAGCCTTGCCAGCTTCGCCGCCGAACACGAGCCGTTCGAGATCCTCGAACCCTCACACGTTCTGGGAAGAAGCCGACGGAAAATCCCCCGCCGTTAATCCTAGCGCAGCTGCCTGGGAGACAGTGACACGCGAGGGCTGCTATCTGCAGTCCGCAGGAAGGCAGACGCGAAGCGCCCTCGTTGCCCTCCCATTTAGAGGCCGGCGATCAAGAGGAAGCGCAGGCCCATCAGCCTTCTCACCACCACCCTCGTTAATAGAGATTGGGGCTCATTAACCTTCTGGTGACCGGCACAACGGAATCTTTTGGATCCGTCTCGCACAAAGCTCGTGCCTTCCACAGCTTCCCAAACCCTCCCGCTCCCCCTAGGCAGCAAGATGTCGTTTCGGCACCGAGCCTGTCCTCCTCCCCGCCGCGTCCTTCCCGCCAAAGCGCCATTCCTCCTCCGCTGACCCGCTGCCAGCGACGGGAGCCCTGCTGCAAAAAGAAGTGGGACCACCCTGAAAAAGTGCCTCTGGTCAAAAAAAAAGCTCGCCCACAAACTCCTCTTCCAGTCAAGATGCAACACAGCTCCTCTCTGCTCCCACCGCGATTTCCCCCGCTCTTTGGCCGCTCCCCTCCCCTCCAGCACTCCTGCTGGGTGCAGAGGCAGCCAGCCCTCTCGCCCCCTTCTGCATCACCTCTCTTCTCTAACCCAAGCGAGCAGGAACGGGTGGTCAGGGGAGACTGCAAGGACTTGCTCGCTCATCACAGACATCTTCGCCTTCAGAGCGACGCTGAACGACCACAACCGCTCCTACAGTGTTGTCACAAGCCACCCACAAAGGCACCTTCATGCCCTCCCCAAACACCCCCAGCTGGCCGGGCGAGCAATTCGGATTTAGCCACGCTGCTTGGCATGCGCAAAGCTTCACACCTTCTCCATCCCTCCTGCCACACCTCCCCGAGGCTCGTCCCTTCAGCTGAGTCTTCTCCTCCCTGGCACCACGCGGATGCCTGCCCAGAGCTGTCCGGGGTCGAGCACTGCAACGGGCTGCCCTGGCAGCTCATGGGATCTCCAAACGCGGAGATTTCTGAAGGTTTCTACCCTGAGAAACTGGCCTGACTTTGGAGTTAGTCCTGCTTCGAGCAGGAGGCTTGGAGGAGGGACCCACAGAGCTTCCTTCCAACCTAGCTCATTCCGCAAGAGTCACAGGGGATTTTTTTTTTCAGGCCTCTCTGCAGTTGTTTTCTCCCACTCCACAGTCTCCCCCTCTCTCTCCCCACATCCATCCTTGCTCAAACACCAAGCAAAGAATCTTTCTGGATCTGTTTGCACCCTGCCTATTGCCCTCCCTTCGGCTTTCAGTCAGTTCTCCCCCCTTTTACACCACCTCATAGCCCCGAGCGTCCCTACTTCACAGCAGAGGCCTCCACCCTGAACACTCCTAGTCCCAGCCTTCCTCCCCACCAAAGCGCTCCTTCCTCCTCAGTACTTCAAGCCCGAAGGCGACTTGCCCCGTTGCCCCTCTCAGGATGTCCGTAAGCTGACCGAGGGCTGCAGGAGAGATCCCGCTCCCTCCTCCTCCGGCCTTGGTATTCAGGGCCTGCCTTTGCCTCGTCCACGGTAACGCCTGGCAGCGCTTTGCCACCGCTGAAATCGCAGCAGAACGCATAAAGGATACTGTCTTCTCTACTTTTGTCTTGTGTGCTTTCCATTCCAGGCAAGGCAGCTGCCACGCGTCGGAAAAGCTGCAAAAAAAAAAAAAAAACAAAACCCACACAGGGAAGAGATCAAAACAATCGGACTTTAAAGAGTGCCCCCCCAGTTGATACAGTTCAAACAATGATTCAATGCAGCCTTCGGTACTATTTACACTGCTCACACCAAAAAAAGCCTGACACCAAATATAACCTTTATTCTTAGGAAATGGCAAAGCACATTTTCATTGCTGTTGAAGATCAAGTGTTACTGCCTACAAGCAGCAAACCTCCGATCACCTTCTCTGCAAATACGCTCTGCTTAGAATCCAGCAATTTCCACCTCACATCTGCTGTGGATGGCCAGAGACCCCAACAAGTCGGTAGGAACCCGACCTTCACACCTCCGCAGAGTGTTAGTTACACAAGAGCATGGACACGCTGATAAATCCAGGAATCTGTCACCAATATTGGGCGAGCTGGCACGTACAGAGGAGCGTCAGAGTAGGGGATGTATGTAGTGACATCCCCTAAACATCCTCCTCCAGGCTCCACGTACCTGTAGCTCAGGCTCCCTGTGAACCAGACAAAGGATCTGTCTTTCAGGAATATGCCCAACCCTTTTCTAAGCACCCTCCACTTTTGGGATCCGCTCCATCATTTCTCCAGCCCACGCTCACGGTATAAACCACAAGAGGAACACCTGCCAAGCGCACCTGCAGGCCCAAAGCAGCTGCTCTACCTCTCACTTGAACGCTGTCTTCCATTCCCCAAGCAAGGTCTTCGCTCCCAACTCCCTTCATGGTTTCATTCCACCTGAAGGAGGCTGAGAGGTGAAGACTGAACGGGACCAGTTCCCCCTCCTGCATTTCCAACCTTTGCCCCCGAGGCTCAGACTTGTGGTTCCCACCACAAGGCTTTTCCCCAGCCCTCTGGGCAAGGAGCCTATAGATTTGCCCACTATCAATGCACCAGAACTCACTTAAATTTTCCGAGCCTGCAATAGCCTGTCCTCTCCTGGGCAGGAACAGCACAGTTAAGGACTGTCCTGCAGCTGACTGATCTCTCTGAGAAGGTGCCACGTTCCGTCGGTACCAACCACAGAAGTTTTGACACCCAAGGTTCTCTCTTCCACGGGCCCCACAGCAGGAGGGGAGGACAGGACCAGTCTGATGGACGGATGAATCGCCTTTGCTGTTCGTCAGGGTTATCAAATAACGACCTAATCGTTGCTTACCCTTGGAGAGCAGCCCTAGCAGAGTTTTGATCCCATGCTGATGTGCTCAGCACACACCCAGATATAAACCTTTGATGTACGCTGCATTAATATTTTTACACCGTTACAGACGTCGTTCTCAGAATATATTTCTTGCCTGCGCGTTATCAAGCGCCCAGGACACCAAGCGCTCGCCGTCTCCGTCCATCAGCGCGTTAAAATCACCCCGGCAGCAGCTCGGGAGTCCCAAAACGCCTGGCGCGAGCCTGACGTCAGCCTCGATGCGTTAAACTGACAGGGCTGCACATCAGCCCTCTCCTCAAATGACACGAAGCTAAAACCACTTATTCCCAGTGACCCACTTTCCACCGAAAACGGAGCCAAAGCCACCGTCAGTCTGTTTATATCACGACTGTAGGAACCTCAACAGCTTTGCAGAGCAGCGCCCGAGCGCTTCGGCACATTTGGCCCCGGTGCTGGGAGGACACTGAGGCAACTTCGTGGGCTGGCCAAGCACCCTCGGAGGTAATCGTGAACGAGCCCCCCCAGGTCTGCGTGACCTGCGCAGGGCAGGAGCACGAGCACGCTACGCTCGCGGGTGTCCGCCCTTCGCTGTCACCGCTGTTCGTCACGGCTACGTGAGGAGAGGACAAAACCGATGGGG